TGCCTCAGCACTTTCTTGCCTTGAAACAGCCGGCTCAAACCGGCCCTGACTGCTTTAGAGCTGCTTTGGTTGTTCTATAGTGCCCTTTAGCTAATTGTAATACTAAAGTCCCTGCATAGTGGGGAATGGCAATATCATTAACATAACCTGGGTTGCATGACAGCACAGGATGAGGGTACTGTGCCCATGTGATTTGTTTCACTGTGAACAAGCAAAGATACAATGTAAAACCTTTACATTACTCATTGGGAAGAGACTTAAAGCAACACCACAGGGTAGACAGATGCAGAATTTACATGCAAGGAAGCTCCTGTGGAAGAAATTCCTGTGCTGCCCAGGAGCAGGCGCCCTTATAAGTAACTGCCAATAAACTCATCTAACTCGTCAAGCTGGACTTGTCAGAGTCATTGTTTGGTCTCTAGGCTCCTTCTCGGTTTGGGAGGCAGTTTTTCTATACTGTCCCGGGATTTTCCCGACACTAGCATACTTATTTCTAAGTTTTGATTTAAGGTAAGAGGCTTGCGACTCTTCCTTTTAGTTTAACACTTAGAGGCCATTATATATATATATTTTTTCTTCTAGGAGTTTTACAGTTTCAGCTCTTACATTTAGGCCTTCAAGCCATTTTGAGTTAATTTTTGTATATAGTGTAAAGTAAGGGTCCACTCCGACACCATTTATTGAAGAGTCTACCTTTTACCCATTTTATGGTCTTGGAAATTTTGTTGAAGATCATTTGACCTTATACGTGGAGATTTGTTTCTGGGCTCTGTATTCTGTTTCATTTGTCTACATAACTGTTTTTATGCCAGTACCATACTGGTTTGTTTCTGTTTTTGTTTTGTTTTGAGAAAGGATCTTGCTGTGTTGCCTAGGCTGGTCTCAAACTCCTGGGTTCAAGTGATCCTTCTACCTCAACCTCCCAAGTAGCGGGGATTACGGGCGTGCACCACTGCATCCAGCTTTATACTGTTTTGATTACTACAACTTTATATTAATAATCAGTTTCGAAGTCAAGAAGTGTGATGCCTCCAGCTTTGTTCTTCTTTCTCAAGATTGTTTTGGCTATTTGGGGACCTTTGAGATTTCATATGAATTTTAGGGTGGTTTTTATCTAGTTCTACAAAAAATGCCTTTTGGATTTTGATAGAAATCTCATTAAATCTGTACATTACTTTGGGTACTATGGGCATTTTAACAATATCAAATCTACCAGTCTTTGAACATGGGATATCTTTCCATATGTTTGTGTCTCCCTTGATTTCTTTCAGCAACGTTTCAAAGAAACCGCTACTCTCCCAGACTTTCTGGAGAGGTTTTGTATGGGGGAGGACCTTCACCAATCAGTCTAGCTAGAGATTCTCAGGGCTTCTGAAAACTTTTGTGGGGAATACAACCTCTCTGGGTTTCTGCATGCCATTTCCCAATTAGACAGGTTTGTTGATTTCTTTCTTTGCAAGACAGAAGCCACAAGGAGCTTGTAATCTCTTGTTCCTTCTGGTCTCTGTCTGTAGTCCTGAAGGTTCCCTAAAGCTGTAACAGCAACTGCCTCGCTCCCCTTTGTTCCAGAAGCCCCCAGGCATCCAAAGTAAGCTGGCTCCCCACCAGCTCCCCAAGTCAGGCTGGACAGACACCAGTCCCTTGGGCAACCCTCTAAATAGCCACAATGCTGGATAAAAGTGCCATTCTTCTCCCTCCCCTCCCCCCCGCAAGGTAGAAACCACAAGTTTGGCACCTCGTCTTGATCACGGTGAGCCATCCCAGCCTCTGTCTATGGCATTGCAGGTCCTCTGGTGCCACAGCAAGCTGTCCCCACTCTCCTGTTTTCATAGGCCCCCCAGGCATCCAAACTATGCTGGTTCCATCAGTGCCCTTAGCCAGGAAAGACAGAAACTAATCCCTCAGACGGCCCTTTAAAAAGTCAGAATGTTGGATAGAGGCCCAGGCTCTGTATCCTTGTATCAGGCATACGCTGCCCCCAGAGACAGGCATTTCTGGCTCATGTGACTCCTCTCAACCAACGGCAAGCCTGCGGAGAAGGTTGCCGGTGTACATCATTAACCACAGCACCTGCAGGAGCTGAGAGATGAGTGTACCCAGCAGTAAAGGGAATTTGGGCAGCGTACTAAGGGTGTCTTCTATAGTAAGTCACTGGTATATGCTTCACGCCACTGACAGAAGTGATGGGCTATACCCACAGGTGATAGTTTCATCATTTATTATCACTTCAGTTTTAATAATAAAGATGCTGATACTGTTTCCACAGCCCAATCCGAAGTCTAGTAACATTAACCACCATGGAAAGGTGGAAGGAAAAGCAATTTAGGCATTATATCTTCTTCAGCAGGTGTAATGGCTGAGAGCTGAGTTGGCTGTCAGTCTATACAATCCATAGCCCTTGTGTGTGTGGCTGGCAAGAGGGAAGTGCGATTTGTATGTCCACGTTTTACTGACCCCTTCGGTGCCCTTCCACTTCTCTATGGCAGTTACTCTTCTGTTAATATTGGTCAAGCAACATTTCCCCTTTCCTCCTCTCATGACCCGGGCTTGGCAGATGAAGGTGTAAGAGAAAGATGATATTGAAATAGGACACCCAAGAGGAAAACCTTTCTTTCCCTAGTTTTTCCTTTAAGGGTCCCTAACCTTTTGTTTATTTCTACTTCTTTTGCCAGGAAAGAATAACTACCTTTAATCTAAAGAGCTCTACCTCTGCTCTATCCCTCGAGGTCAAGATGAAGTCCCACTCCTGAAGGATGTTACTCGAGCCTCTGAGACCCTAAATCTGCGATCTCCAACCCCCGGGCCACAGACTGCTACTGCTACCAGTCTGTGGCCTGTTAGGAACTGCGCCACACAGCAGGAGGCGAGCGGTGGGCAAGCTTCATCTGTATTCACAGCTGCTCCCCCTCGCTCACGTCACTGCCTGTCAGATCAGCAGCGGCATTAGCTGCAGGAAAACAAGTTCGGGGCTCCCACTGATTGTGCATTATTGCATTATGGTGAGTTGTATAATGATTTCGTCATATATTACAATGTAATAATAATAGAAATAAAATGCACAACAAATGTAATGCACTTGCACTGTGTTTGCACTTGTAATGCATCCTGAAACCATCCCCCAACCCCAGTCTGTGGAGAAATTGTCTTCCATGAAACTAGTCCCTGGTGCCAAAAAGATTGGGGACTGCTGCTCTAAACTATTGTCCCTTTTCATTCCTCTGAGCTCTAAGGAACTAACGAATAATCTGTTAGGTCCTAGTCCCTTGTCTAGCCTTGGTCTTTGCTGTACCACATTCCCAAGCCTTTTCTTGGGCTATAACATTGACAGATGTGACATTCTGGCTCACCCATCTAAGTGAGACTATCTGGTCCTCTGGCCCGGGGGGGTCAAGACTGGATACACAGCGGGTGCTCTGTAATCTCCTCATCCAGGGGAAGTTACACTTTTTTAAATGATCAAAATACTAATGACAAATGGTGAAAATTCAGACATACTCTAGGGAAACAATATGGGCAAGAAAGCTTCCCTTGCATTAGCTGAAATCGCAGGATATGAGAAACATTACCCAGTAAAATTGCCAGGGAGACAGAAGTGTCCTGGCGGGAATAAGAGGACACTAGGTACGGCAGAAGGATGAGTCCATTCTGGAAGCTTGTGGTACCCACTTGAAAGGCAGGGATGCTTTCTCTAATGACAGGATATAGCAGCTTCTTACTAGAGTGGTGCTTGTTTCATTGGACAGAGTGATGTGGAGGCCAGGGCCTTGGGTCTTTGTTCAGGAGCCTGGCTTTGCATGAGTAGACAGGTCACAGACTGACAAGCATTTATCAAATCCCATCTTCCATTTTTTTGTAATAACTAGATTACATTTTCCAGCCTCCTTGGCCAGTAGGTGGACCCATAGGGCTGCATTGCGGCCAATGGAATGTTGATAAAAATGATCAACTTCTCTTCTAAGTCCAGCCCTTAAAAACCTTCTGTATGAGTCTCCCTGCTACCTTTCTTCTCCCGTCTGTTGGCTGGATGTAAAGGAACCAGCAGAAGAGGCCCTGGAAGATGACAGAGCTCCAGAAGGAAGAATCCAGGTTCCTTGAATTATGGTGTGGATGACTTCCCACTGACCACCCTCAGTGACATGCATTGTGAATGAAAAGAAACTCTTACTGTGTCAACTCCATGAGATTTTAATAAATCTCGTTGTATAGTTGCTACAGGTTGGCTAATACATAGGTCTAACTGGGAGGGCAGAATTGGGTACGTAGGCCCATGATGGGATGGGAACAGCTATTGAGACTGTTGGGGATTGTAATGAGGGAAACTAAGTCATAGGTATGGAGTAGGAAAAAAGTGCAGAGCCCTCAGGCTGGTGTATCTGTTTATTTGGCAAAAACTTGAGGCTTCTTAGGGTAAAGAGGCCAAAGAAAGAGCAGAGAGGTCCTCAGCTGGGGCAAGTGGGTGTCCCAGCAGGGAACCAGGCAGCAGTCTTCTTAGACCACATGGTCATCCTCCAGCCCACACTGGTGGTAGTCTAGTATTGATCTGGAGGAGGCCCATAGTCTAGTATTGATGTGAAGGGCTCTCTGAAAGAGAAAAGCCAGGTAGTCAAAAGTCAGGAACCCTGGGGGAAACCTATTTCCAAACTTAATAGTCCCCTAGGCCCAAGATAAGAAGACTAGAAATTCTTTCTGTTACATCAGGAGTTGCTCACTTTTAAGCAATTTTTCCCATGAGGTTTGCTGACTGAGCAGACAGGCAGAGACCAGGTCTCTGGGCCTGGCTGAGTGAAGGGGGCCGGTGGAGAGGCCCAACTAAAGAGGCAGCAATTGGGACCTTGGACAAAGGAGGGATGTATACACCTGTGGATGATGTTTTGAGGGAAGCAAAGGGAACCAAACAAGAGTGAAGAAAAAATTAGAGGCCCCCATGTCGGTGTCTTGATTTATTTTGCAGCAAGAGGCAGCCTAGGTTTGGAGATAGAAGGCTATTGCCTTTCACTGCCTGTTCCTTTGAGCAGGATTTGGGTGACTGCAATTTTCTGCTCCTGATCACAGCTTCTGGATAGTGGATGAGGAGCAGGGATGAAGCGTGCCCAGGCCCCAACCTTCCACCCCCACCAACTCACCCATTATCCAAGCAGATGTTTCCACAGTAGGTCCAGCAGCACGTGTGATTCCAGCGTACACAGGTGTGGACTCTAGTGCACCTCTTTCTACAATACTTAAATGGAGGCTGTACCCAGCACTGCTCAGTTTCTCTTACTTCAAGTGGAATTGATATAGTAGAAGTTAGTAGGGTTCATCCATTCACAACTTGGAAAAGAAACCCTTTTCAAGCTTGGCAACCCCATCTGGAACTTGAGATTCAAGCCACAATGTATTTCTCTGCCTCCCAAGAAAATCTCCTCCTCGAATTTTAACCAGTCTCTTCTACAGAGAGCATCTTTCTGTGAAATGTGTTCCCTTTTCCCACATGTCCCCACAGCGTTGCAGGACTCTGGCTCCTAAAATTAGGACCTGGAACCCCCTGACCATGTATGACACCACCTCACCTAATTTTTTCTCATATAACCTTAGATTTCAGAGCCTGCAATATCCTCTAGATCTAATTTCCACACCGAATTTGCACAATGGGAAACTGAGCTGAGGGAGAATCGAAACCTACTTTTCTCCCCTTCTATTTGCTTCCCTGATGATACCACCTAAGCACTCAGCCTCTCTCCAAATTTATTTTTTTTTTCTTTTTCTCCCTAAATTTCATGTCTTTCACTGGCTCACAACCCTCCTGCTCAATCCCTTGTTGTCCCCACTTTCTTATCATATGAACCCAAACTTTGATCTACTAAGGACCCCTTATTTGTGTTTTCTGTTTTTTCATGTTCTAAAAGATTTCTACCTCCCCCAACTAAATGAATGTGTTAAATGTTACCCTTTTGTTATTCATTAAAGGCTCACCCAACTGAAGCACAGAGATTCTGAAAATATAGGCTTGGAGGGAAGCTATGTTGGTGCCTCCTCTAACCAAGCTGGTCTGACATTGGAAAATATGATTATGGAATGTTTACAAAAGCTCCAGTCCCTTTTCATATACCTAGGATTGCTTTCAGAGCTGGGAGGGGGAGCTTGAGGGGACACCAGACTGGGAACGTCCCACCTAATCTTGCTTGGATATCTCTGCTTAAGAAAGGATCTGGTTCTGGAAATGTGGGCCCCGAATCAGCTGCGACAGACATCACAGGACTAGGAAGAGAAGCCCTTCCCTCTCCACATCACCTGGGGGACACTGGATTCTGAAGCTTCGCAGCACAGGCAGAAGGATCACAACCTCAGGGATGGACACGATAAGCAGGAGAGCCCAGGACTTCATGGTGGTCTCTGTGTATTTGGGTTAAGTTCTGGCAGAAGACAGATCTTTTCCCAGTGCTGCTGGAGGAAGAGAAGGGATTGAGAATAACAGGGTAGGAAACACAAGGAAAGAGCTTGTGAATAATATGATATTCTCTCTCCTACTCTCCCTTTTTACCCTCAGCTACCCAACAGCACATCAACTCTGAAGCTAGCCAATGATTTCCCCAGGTTTCTTCCCATCTCTCAGTACACACCCCTTCCTTTGCAAAATTTGTTTCTTTTTAAAATGAATTGCTTTTTTCAGATTATGCAATTTGTAAAATTAAAAAATACAAAGAGGGAATGGATAAGCATTAGTAATTCTACCACCTAGAGATGATCGGTATATGTATGTACTTTTAAGTTGTAATCATTATTTTCATGAAATCAGACCCATTAAGTGTCCTGATATTTTGTTTAAAAACATACGTGACAGGATGCTATAAGGAAGTTTTGGTGAAGATCGTAAGACAAAAGGCATTGATGCAAACCAAGAAGGAGTTATGAGACAGAGACTTGAGAAAAGATGATGGCTAACAGTTGTTAAGGGACTCAAAACTTTCATTCACATAAATGGTTCAGAGTTGAAGGAATCGTGTAGAGGATTTTGAAGATTTTGTTGGTAAAAGGCTTTTCTCGGGGAAGTGGAGATGCTGCCTTCTGATTCCAACTTGAGAGAAAAGGCTTAATGAATACTACTCATAGAGCTTACTGCGTGTTCCCAGAGGTTTATGGGGACACAGTAGACTTGTGTTCGAGTCATGACTAAAGCGCCTATAGGGTGAGGATCTGGATAAAGTGGCCTGTAGTAGCAGAGAAGAGGGCTGCGGTTTGGGAAGTATCCAAACTATAAATGGTGGGAAGACATTTTATGTCTCCAGTAAGAGTCAGGACCAGAAGCACAAAGCCAGCTGATGACAGTGTCTTAGACAGAAAGTCTAAGAACTTTCCTACTCCCTCTTATTGGTCCTTCCTCCCTCTACTACTTAGGAGACAAAACCTTTTTTTAGCGAGGTGGGGTGGGGGTGGAATCACAAAGAACTGGAAAGAGAGAGGGAGAGAGATTGACCATGTCCCTGTTCCATAACTGGAGCTTCTAAGGGAGAGGAGCGTCCATTATTCTGAACAAATTGTGGAGCTGTGGCTAATTGCACGGGCCTGAACATTTTAGTTAAGTTGAGAAGACGTTTTGCACATAAAATTTGTGGGGACCTATATAAATTTTCCTGAAGAAACACATTAACCATTTGGAACAAAGTATACAGATGGAGACAAAAAAAAATATGAACGCATTATGTAAGTCATACCCACAATTCGATTATAAATGCTATGATTGTTCCCTATGTCATGAAGGCCCAAATATTTCCAGTTTCTTCTTGTTATAAAAATGTCCTGATGAACGTCCTTATAGGTAAAGCTTTTGCACATGTATTATTCTTTTTGTAGCATGAGTTACTGAAGAAAGAATTCTAGGCAAAAGACATCGTCTTTTTCAGGCTTTGGATAGTTGCCATCACAGTTTTCTCACTAAGGGTTGGGTTACATTTCCACCTACTGGATGTAAGATGCATGTTCCCCACCTCCTGTTCTACCCTAGGCAATACAGGGACAATTTCCGTCACCACGCTGTTGGCTGTTTAGTTTTTTGGGTTTTCATTTTTCTTTTCTTTCCTTTTTTTTTTTTTTTTTTCCTTTTTTTTTTTTTTTTTTTGAGACAGGGTCTCACTCTGTCCCCCTGGCTAGAGTGCTGTGGCGTCATCATAGCTCGCTGCAACCTCAGAGTCCTGGGCTCAAGTGATCCTCCTGCCTCAGCCTCCGGAGTAGCTGGGACTACAGGTACATGCCACAATACTCAGCTTATTTTTTCTATTTTTTGTCTTATCATAAGGGAAATTCTCTCCATTTATCTGCACACTGAGGATTAGTGGTGTAGTACTGGACAGAGCACAAAACTTGAACACGGGCATCAGAAAGACCCGGGCTTGATTGAATCCCAACCCTAACACATTTAGCTTAATGCAAGTTATATATTTGGGCAATCACATACCTTTTTAGAGCCTCAGTTTCCCCATCAATAATATGAGAGCTATGTTAGCATCCACATTGCCAATGTTGAATATACGAAGCACTGAGCACAAGGCTTGGCACGCAGCACATGTAAAATAAATGTTGGCTATTATTATTAAACTTAAACTCTCTCATCTCCTCCAGAGGGGCGGATGTTACTTAACTTCGTTGCCTTTGTTGTGGTCTTTTTAAAATTTCCACTATTTAACCTGCTTAGAATTAATTCTGGTGATTGGATGAGGTTCTAGCCTTCATCTGTTCTAAATTCATTCACCCCACAAATACTTATATTAAGGGACAACTATAAGCCAGGCATTATTAGGAGCACTGAGAACACAGTAGTGAACAAAGCTGACAAAAATCCCTGCCCTCATAAAACTCACATTCTAATAGAGGGGACAGGCAGTAAGTAAGATATATAATAGAAATACATAATACTTTCTATGGAGATGGTGTAAAAGAGAACACAGTGAATGCAGAATAGTCTAGGACTGTCTGGCTATTATTCAGCTCGTTGGGGTGGGGAGGTGGGACATGGAAGGAGGAGGTTAAGCACTCACTGTTCAAACACTTTCCCAGATCTGTCTTCACTCATCTCTCACTCCAAGCCCCTTCAACCTCCTGAATCCAAACAGAAAGAAAGATCTTTTAACAAGCAAATACAAAGGAGAAGTCTGGATACTATAAACGACACAGTCATGGTGGAAATAACGTCCCTTTCCCTGAAAGTAACCAATTTTCCTCGAAAGTCTTTATTTTTGCTTCAATATTTTCAACCAAGCAGGAGAAAACTTACATGTATTGGCTGAAATTCCTTCAAATGTTCAAAATCATGACTAATACCTACAGGCATTTTAAAAAGTGCAAAACTTTTGAGAAGGGTTAAACTTATTCTCCTCCTGGCATATACGAAAAATTATAAAACAGAAAAATAAAAGTTTAGGCACATAGACTGTTAGATGGATTGCCTTTAACTCCCTTTAAACTATTATTTGGAAATAACTTCAAAGTTACAAGACTAAGAATAGTACAAAGATCATCTGTATACCATTTACTCAGATTCACTTATTTAAGAATTTACCCCAATTGCCTAATCTCTCTCTCTCTGTCTCTCTCTTTCTCTCTCTCTCTCTCTCTCATATGTTTTGAAAAACTTGAGAGTAAGTGTTATTTATCATGGCCCTCATTTCTAAATACTTCAATCAGTATTTCTTAATTGGGGAATTATCTTACATGATCATACTACAGTTATCAATTTCATTAAAATTAACTTTGATAAAATATACTTTTAGCTCTTCTACCCTGAGTATTCCATTTTATCAATTCACTTGGTAACATCCTTTGTCTTTTAGGACATTGACATTTTTGAAGAATACAGCCGAACTTTTCTTTTAATAAAACATACCTCATTTGGGGTTTGTCTGAGATCTCTTCGTGATTAGATCCAAGTTATCCATTCTCGATGGAAATACTATCTAGGCGAGGTTGTGTCCTTCTTAGGATATCACATGTGGAGGCACACAATGCCCATCCATGTTAGCTTTCTCTGCCTCGGTTTCTCCATTTGAACAAGGACAATAATTTATTCTACAGAGGGATAGTACTGGCATGATGTTGGGTTACAATTTGGACAGGGAAACCATCCAAGCAACCCCAAAATGAAAGCTTTTACAGGCTCATGCTTCCAGTCCCAGGATCCTGACCTCCATCTACCTCTGAAGATGTCCTGGGTGGAGGTGCTGATAACTATTTGACTGGTGGCCCTTCTTCCTTGCCTCCTGCCTGAAGCCCCCACACAGGAGGCAAATGGTGAGCAGAACGAATTTCAATGACTCCGATTTTAATTATGCTTCTGGTCATAGCAGATCTGTGAGTTCTGTTCCAAATCATAAGTCGGGTATATACAGAACATTGTCCCTGAATTCCTATTCAAGGAGTGCTTTCTTTTTCTTTTTGCTGCAGGCAATATAGATAGAGATAGAACACTGTGGACCTGCAAAAACCTCTCCTCCCGCAACA